GAGTGACGTCCGTGATCACTCGATTTTTTTTAGAGAGGGTTTGATTATGTATCTACATTATTGCAATAAAACAATCCACAAGAAGAAACAAATAAACAAAGACAGAAAAGTTCACCATGAACACGATAAAGACACGAGCTATATTTTAACAGTGGCGTAGCGTGGGCTTAGCCAATGGGGGGGGGGGGGGCGGGGGCACTTGGATAATAGGAGAGGAACCCTGTCTTATGTGGTAGGTTAAATATGAATCAAACAAAACAATTGGTTTCAGGGAGGGTCCCATCTTCTACTCGTCATTTCTCATCCCTCCCTTTCCCGTTCAAACCTTTTTGCATTTTCTTTTTGCATTTATCTTTATTTTTTCACCATTCGAATTTTATTGGGGGGGGGGGGCACCTGCCCAGTGTCCATGGTAGCTACGCCATTGTGGCCGATGCATGATTAGTGTCCGTCATCCTGACTTTCAAGATCACGCTCAAGTTTTTTTCTTCTCGAGCCACAAATAGAATCGAAGAAAAAACAAACCAGAAGCAAAAACACACTTTATGTTCGCAAACAAAAACTTGCTACATGTATATTATGACTCATGTGCCCGGGTGAGATAACAAAAATTGCCGTCAAAACATGGACAAAGCGTGATAACCGTACAGCAGACTTTAATCTCAAGACGTTCTTCTCAAGTTTGGTTATGATGAATGTTGTTTATCAATAATGCTCTTCAGATATCATGCATTCTTATAGAGTGTGTGAACTTGTGAAGTGCTGAGGCGGTGATCGCCGAGGGCAGGAAAGAAGGGCAGGTGTGAGCTTGAATTTTCTTTTTGTTTTGTTCAGAGGAACCGCCCCTTCCGGAAATCTTTAATTTTCTCTGCAAGAGAGACAATTGAAAATAATGTTGTAAAATATATAAGCCTATAATCATTTTTTTAAAAGCTCGTCTGTACTAGTTTGGCTAAGAGGGATTAGACCACCTAGGGTAGTCACTGGCAGGTGGCTATCTCATCAACTCAGCTCTCAATATTAACATAAGAAAAAGAGGATCATGGGGGACCAATGGTCACCGATTAGGCATTGTTTTCTATATAGAGGGAGCAAGTAGCTACAAGTAGTGCATTGGGGCTTTAACAGAAGCTCTGCGTGCCCAAGAATATACTATAGTTGCAGTGTATTGGAAATTGAACAACAAAAGACAAATCAGGCAGAAAAAAGACAAAGAAAGAACAAAACTTGAAGAAGAAAATGAAGAAGGAAAGGAAGGAGAAGAAGAAGAAGAACAAGAAGAATATGAAGAAGAAGAAGAAGAGGAAGAAGAACTCTGTTACCAACTTACCATATCGGAGATTCGGAGGGGAGGGGGTCGATCATTAATATATCATGCAAACGGTCGATCATGACTAAAAATCACCGAACATTAAAATGTAGGGCTGAATCTTTGGGGACTATAAGATGTCGCGAAAGCTTCGGTAATGCTTTTCCAAGTAAAAAATCACTGAGAGCATGCATTCCCCCTTCCAAAACTTAAAAAATAAATAATTATGACAAAACGGAATATCTTATGAGCATAAACGTTCGGGCGAGTCATTCACTTAACACAATCATCTTTCTCCATTTTTTCTGGGAGGAGCAATCTATTTTCGTAACTATAATGTATACCATGTTCAGTTGCTTATTTTGGCCCACAAAGGGCCTTGTGTATGACGAACGAATTATTCGTGCAATGGTAAAAGTGACTCCCTCTTGTTTGAAATCTTATTATTCTGTTTACCCCCTCCCCATAGTTTTCATATAGTGCCCCTAGCTACGCCCATGAGTCAGTTCTCAGTTGTCTTTAAACTGGATTGATATAGGTCATGCCGGTCGGTCGGCCTCCCCGCTGTCGCGTTTAGTTTCAGCATGGCACGAATTCCTTCTACGTCACAATAGAGGCTCTCTCTGGGTTCCACCTTTGTGTCATATCATGACTTGCAAGGACCAATGATCATCTCTTTTCCTTACTTAGTTGTTCAGTTATATAATGATTTATACAATCATTCTTATATCAATTCGGGATAGGATGGGGTTGTAATAGGCTGTGTAAACAGAAGCAACTTTTAACTTATTAAAAAAAAAAAAAAAAAAAAAAAAAAAAAAAAAAAATCCCCTCACTAACATGTCGTAGGATTCACTATTTCCTTCAAAAGCAAATTACAAAAAATAATATTGGTTCTTTTCTAAATAGTCACAAGTAAATAAACTATCAAACAAGTTTTTCGAATAGATTCCACCTCCCCTGAAATAAAATATAAGATTTTCTTTGAACACGACTCAATTAAAGCTGCGGTTATTGACTAATGAAGAGTGAAAATAACTTTGATATCGGGTCACTTTAATTACATTGATTAGAAATTTGTTACCCCTCTGTCATATTATTTGCAAAGAATAATTCAAGTAAATATTTCCGATTCGTTCCCTATACTCTTCAACCATTAACGCAAAAGATATCGGATTAGGATGGTATTCCTCCACCCCTATACCCCCCCCCTCCATAAAAAAATACCAACCAACTGTTTTAAGCATACCGACATATTATCGGTGCCAAAACTGCCAATAATTTATTATTATGCGCTATATCAAAATGACTTTATTATAAGTATTAATACTCACAAGTAATACAACGAACAAAATAATTGTCTCGGCAGGTTGTACTGAGCCAGTCAGAGTCAAAATAAGGTTGATTTACTGAAGTACGACGTGTACAAGAGATGGATTATTCTCACGGTAAGGATGACTTTTTAGCTTGCTGATATAAAAGTTAGGCATTTTAATTTTAAGTTATAATTTAAATGCAATATGCACTATTTGAGGTGTCGTGGTGTAGTAGTTTATGCACTTGACTCTCAATCTAGGGGTTTGAGGGTCCGAATCCCATCTAACGGCCTTTGGCATAACGTTAATCCACATTTTTGCCAATCTCCACCCGGGAGTAAATGCATGGGTATACCCGTGATTGTTGGGGGTAATAATCAGTTCATGCATGGCCCCATGCACGAAAAACATCATTGATACTGCTGACGTTTCTTCGAGTAAAACAATATCATTGTTATAATATTTTTAATTTTTTTTTTAATTTGACTCTTACATTAAGAGATAACTTCGAATTCCCAGGAGTAAACTCAGGACAAAAGTATATCCGTTGAAACTGGAGACATGAATTTTGTGCACCATCCAATATCCGGTTACTTGTATTTCACAAAAGCTTCCACTTTCAGATTATACATCCGCTTGGTATATGGTACGTGTATACGAAGCTTTTCTACAGAATATCAGTCTATAGAAAATTAAGAAAGTCGTCCTATATATAAACCTTCATTAACAGTACGTTAATCATAATCCCCTTTTTTCTTTTCTTTCTTGTAAAAGCGACCCCGTAGAATCAGCGCTTAAGCTTGAATGATGCTAAAGAACACAATTGAAACGTGCTATTTATCTTCAGATTCTGGCAACAACAAAAATGTGGTTCACTGTACAGTTCTGATTGAGCCATCTATCTTTTGAACGAAAGATGACAATGCGACTTTTTATGAAAGCAGAAAAAAATAAATAAAAAGAGTCACTTCAAAATGCAGCTTGTGTCATCACTTTACGATGTAAACATTGTAAATGTAGAAAAAGGAAGGGGAATAGAGATTGAGTGAGTGTTTGTGTGAAAGAGAGAGAGAGAGAGGGAGGGTGAGGGTGAGAGAGAGAGGGAGAGAGAGAGAGAGAGAGAGAGGGAGAGAGAGATAAGAGATAAAGAAAGAAAGCTTATCACAATGTAACTTGCCTACAATATTATACGTCAGCAATGGATTGTATTGTACAATGGTGCTCTCTTTTCATAAAAAAACACAAACATTTCTGAAGGCTTGCATCGCCTGCTCAACATTTAATTTCAATGGAAAAAAACATTTCGCTGATTCAGACGTTTTTACAGAACGTATCGGGGAGATGTTTTTTTTAAATTGCAACACGCTCAGAAATCCCTTTGAATGCAAAATTGATTTGCATTCCTTCTTTTTTATCTTCAATCTCTCCATGAAATAAACCGAAAAAACATCAAAATTATTAATGTAATCGTTTTTCATCAAAACGATCTTTTTGATTACTATCAAGGTGCATTTAATATGGCCACCGTCATCATCAGCATTATCATCGCCATCATTATCATAATTATTGTCAGCATCGCCATCACCAACACCATAATCAGCATCGATATCATCACCATCACTACCACCATCACATGATCACCATTACCCCTAAGCCCCTTATCACATCATCATCTTCCTCAATCCTCCTTCTCCTCATCACCATCTTCATCGTTATCACGCCTTATAATTTACAAACCGATTAGTTCACATTCTCACCCTTCCAGGCACGGAAAAACACATCACTCAAACAAAATCGAAAATCCGAACTTATACAATTTTTCTCTCCCCCTCCCCCTCTCAATGTATATTCTATTCCCTTGCCTGGTTACTAGATTTATCAATGTAACTAGCTTCCTCTCTGTTGTAAAATTTGCCTGAATGAGACATTCCTATACTTCCAATTATTAGACTGCATTACCCACGTTTAAAAACACGTACTGTATATCTTCTGTAGAATGCACTTGGACTTTGAATTAGCTTTTTGTAGGGGAGCACTCATGCAAATGTCAAAAGCCAGTTGCATATCACCCACACAGTAAACACAAGAAAATTGGTTTATAGAATATAGGGCAATTGAGTGCCTAGTAGGTAATTTAGTGGTCAATACAATTGAGATATGAAGTGCCTGACATCACAACAAAAATATCATCACCCTGATATTTGGTCTCATAGATGCTCTAGTATGAGACAACAAATGATATTGTCAATAATGTACATGACTGTATGAGACCAATATATTGGACATGTCCTATATTTTAAATACCCCCCCCCCCTCCCCTCCCCTCGAGAGCCCATGCACAAGGTACAAAACAAACGCAGAATTGAAGCTGTGAATTATAAATCAACAACGGTATAATATTAATACATGGATCATGGAACAACATTTCTTTGAATGCCCCCTAAAAGAGGGTTTTCTTGTTTTATTCAGTACATCATGTACCTTAGTAAAACAATCCTTGCAATTTCTTTCATCTATAAATTTCATAATTTCCATCTTCTCACAAATTATGATTTACATGTAGTTTCCGCCACAACAACAAAACATCGTTCTGTGTATCAAAATATATGAATTTTGAACCTCTTTTCCAATACTGATACACGGTAGGCATGAAATAATTGAAACTCAACAATTGCGATCATTATTACAAGTTAAACTTCTCATCTTTTAAATATGTTATTTATCTCTCTCGGATAAATCTGCATGCAGTCTCCCAAAACACAAACACCTTCGTCACGCTAAAATTATATATATTATATTTCATGTAATTGTTTGTACATTTCTTTTTTTCTCAACACCATATCTTTTCTTGTACTTTTTGGTCTAATCCATGCAAATACCACACAATATATCGACTTCAAGTTCAAAGGCTAAAAAATAATGGACGAAAATAGTGAAGTTGTGATTAAAACTTTGTGCAGAACAAGAATGAGTTGCAATATTCACGTTGGACGATTGGAAAACCTATTTAAGTACCTACAACATGTACAAAAGAAACTCTACTTATTTATTACTTGTGGCATAATTATGATCTGGTACAAACTTGTTCAAACTTAATCTATACTAGGAAAAAGCTGTTAGTAATTCTACAAGGCTTAAATTCTGTGACGTACACAGAACTGTACGACAGTAGACCCAGAAGTTAAATTAGGTAACCGTTGTAGAACATGTCCATTTGTCTACAATGAAAGAGGCCTTCTATGGGGAGAAACAGGACTTTGGTATATTTGCATTTAAACTGAGTAAATACCATTCTTTGAGTTTGGGCAATGAACTGTGCAAAAGGTAAAAGTTATGCCGTCTCATCAAACACAGCTATAGACACAACAATAAATTTTCTGACGTATACATGGACGTAAGGAGAGTTAGCACATAACTATAGAATGACGTAACAATGGTAGAGAAAATGTATAATGAAAAGAAAGTTTTGAAGAAACTCATGGGAAATCCCATGTTCCAGCTTAAAAGGAAACACAAAATCAAAGAACAGCAGAGCACAAGCATAGATACTTTTCAACAACAAATAGTCAATGAGGAAGTTGTTGCACACAAGAAGACTACTGGTTTGTTTTCACACAAAAACCACAGCACTTTCCATGTACAATGAACTTTTTATCGCACACAAGGCCAAATTTCTATCTGTGTGTATATATATGCGATATGTAAAACTTTTTTTTTTTTTTTTTTACAAAGAAGCAATTTCACAGAAATGGAGACCCCAACACACCCCTATACACAATTATATTAAGATTGCAAAAGTTGTTAGTAATAACCCTGACCATTGGAAGAAACATGTAGAGTGAATTATATTTCACTACAAAATTCACTTAATATTGCAATTGAAATATAGCATTTTCTGTGAACATGGAGACAAATCATGCATACCAGAATTGATAAATGTGTCAAAGCCATTCACTTTGTGCACCGATTACTTGTTAACTGCCGAGATGAAACGGGGGCAACCAAACACACATACAGTGTACATCTATTTATCAACAGCCTTGTACTCCAAATTTGAAAGAAAAAATGAACATGGTTGATGGATGACTAAACACTTAGTTAGACTTGCATGTAAACTAAACACCATTTCTTCCAAAATTTCTTTGCATATTCTCAATCAGAGTATGACATGCATAACAATCCAGGCTTTACCATAGAGTGGCCATACTTTTCAGACATGTACTGTGTTTCTGCATTGGAATGTAGCAGACTGACATGATATACATACAATTCCATTATATCGCTCCCTATTTCATCCAATCCTTCATGAAACTCATTTGCTTTGTGTTTTTTTCCTTCCTTTTCTTTCTTGGTTGATGATAAGGGGGCAAGATCAAATACCAGGCGTTCTGAGCAATTTCCTTCATGTATGACTGATTAAAAGAACCATTACATTCATGGTATCACGAGCATGTATTCACATACAGCCTTGCAGGACATACAAAAAGAACAAAGCATGAACATTTTAACAGGTCCAAAAGAGGAAATACATGTAGTATGATGTAGGATGGAGGGGGGGGGGGCACTGGATACACAAGTGGATGATAACAACATCAGTGATGTAATCTGACCATACTTTACTACAAGCATGGATAGTAAGTCCATGCTACAAGTTAGGCCTTAGAGAGTTGCATTATTATTATCATTCTGATTAAAAGAACAAGCTTCCTGAATACACTATCTTGACTTACAACAGTTTATATAACTTTCACTTTCTGTAATCTGTATACATGTACAATATACACTGTATGACTGTACATGTATTTCACCAATAGTGGTACTATGGATGCACTTTTAGTTCATGACACAGCTTTCAGTTAGGGTTTGTGTACATACAATGTAACTACATACACATTGTAAACTAAATGTAGTAATAAAACATCGCTATGTAAATGATGTTGTTCATCAAGAACACTTTGCTTTGGCTACCGGTATATAAATGACTGTATTATCTTGAGTAACCACATACAATGTAATACAGCTTTGTAAAGCGAAGGAAACTGTTCATGAACTTTCCATTTGCAATGATTTGTGTGTGTATTGGAATATAAATTGAGGGTGAATTGCCAATCATAAAAAATATGTCCTAATAGTTAGTGCATGCTCTTGTAATTTTCACATAAATTTCAAGGAACTTGAATTTGTGCTTGACCAAGACAGAAATACAACACATTCAGTCATGTTAATAGTAATACATACACACATGTACATGTACAGGGACTACATGTTGTACACTAATATTTCAACATTTCCCTGCTAAAAATCTGAATATTTCCATGAAGAACAAGAGTATTAAATGAGCAACGGTGAACATGTACTTGAAGGGGCTCCATATGTTGAAGGTATTTTAAATTATTGCTATTGTAATACAGCTTTTACAGCTAAAAGAGATTTGTTTTACACTGGGATTATGTGAGGAGGTCCTTGTATAGAGGGGTAAGTAACTGACACAGGAAAGCTGATGTTTACAAAAAAAGGAGAATAAATTAAAAAATCTAAGTACCCATTACAAATATTGGGCACATAGGGCCCTTTATGCAAGGAAAACTGTAGACATTTCCTTTAAGCATGGACTTACTAGCTGTCAACTAGTAAGTCCATGCTTTAAGTATCTATTCATATTCATGAGCTGTGTGAATATCATTACTGCACACAAACACACACACATACAAAATAACTATACATGTGATGTACATGGGATTATGCAAGACATGGGTTTGACCTTGTGGTGAACCAGCACTCACTGTACACATGTGCACAGCAGATCGATAGATTCTATGTATAGAAGTGCCACAATAAGCCCTGTTAGGCCCAGCATGCACAGTGCTCATGGTGCATGCATAATTGATGGTTTGACATGGTAGTATGCAGCACTATGGCAATCAGCTGATCGGCTTTTGTAACTAGTCTACAGCATTATGTAATGATGTAGTATGCAGCACGAGTATGCAGCACTATCAGGTGATCAGCTTGTGTAACCTATTACATGTAGTCTAGACTCTTGATATTATATAAATCTATTATTAGTATGCGCATTTGAAATGCTGTAGAGGGGATGCATGGTTTTCCAAGTTCCAACCAACCTCCATTAATTGTTATCAATACAAACATTAATTTAAACCTACATATGTACGTTAATAGAACTTAGAAGTCAGAAATTCTATCTGTATCCAACTATGAATACCTGTTATGATCTAGCACTGCAGTTGCACAAAACCCCAAATCACAGCTCAAAAGCAAGTAAAGCACATTAAGTAGTAGGACTTTTGTTAGACTTGAAGAATATTGTGTAGATATTTCAGAATCATAGCTGGATATGTATGTAGATAACTATGCATGATATTTTGAGTTGTCATTTATCAGTCGACTGGTTTTAATGTAATTTTTGACTAAAACCTAGGAATATGCATGGCATTGCATCATTTTGCATGCAGTAGAAAAAAAATGTAAGGTGCCAGTCTCCTACAGATTTAAAATGAACAAAAATTCTTTCAACTTGTGTTTGCCAAAAAGCACAAATAATCATATCAAAGCAACTAATATACTTGGTACACATATGCATGTACTGAATCCAGGATAGATTAAATGTGAAATGTAGCCCATCCTAAACAAATCCTGTTATTTGCGAGATACACCTGACTGTACGGTACGTGTATTAATCTTGACAAGACTGCATCAAAAATGTTAAGACTTGTAATAATACTACAATAAATTGTCATCAAATTACCATCATCACACATAATAAATATTAATCAATATATAATATCAGTGCTACTCACTCATTGAAAATACAGTATTATTAAGAAAAATATAACCCTAAATATTTCCAAAGGCATAAACTTTGGCGTATTCTATTATTCAATTACACTTGCAATAATTATCAGCCCTCTGTCACCAATACGGTCGTTCTTCCTGGCCAGCGACCTGCCAGTATGAAAACTGTCCATACGATCGACCCCCACTCAAGTTTTTTAATGAAAGTTGTTCTCGATTTTGCACAAAATCCTTTTCCTTATCTGTGACGATTTTGTAGTTATTTCCATGGTTGCTATCCCAGAAACTCTGATTGTTTGCGGTGTAACAGACACAGAACGCCAGACTCTTTCCCCCATGGTTGGGTGGCATGTCGAGACTGAACGAGAACGTATCAAATTTGTCATACGAGTTTGATGCTTGACTAGGGAACACGTATGATCCCGGTACGTCTATGTGCGTCTCCCATTCGTCGAAAGTAGCCCGAATGAAGACGGACTTCTCGAAAGAAATGTTCTTCACTTTGATGGTACCTACGACTGTGATGTTATCTTTGATCATCACATTCTCCAGACATACTGTCTCACTCTCCAGCCTCTTGCGAAACTCCAAATAATTAGATGCGGGCTGTTCAAAGTCGGGCACGTAAGTGTAAGGGTTCGTAGGCTTCGCTTCAGCATTTTGAATGACATCATCAAGTAAGTGAATGCTCAACTTGGGAGGCATATTGCTTGGCCCATCCATAAACTTCACAGTCTGGAGTGAATACCCCTGAGCATCTGCAAAAGATACCTTCTTTTTCTCTTTCCCATTACACGCCCTAATCTCAGGCTTCGATTTCAGCTCGTTTCTTCGATGTAAGCCAGGACTTTGGGCCGCTTTACCGTTCGTCATGCAAACAGCACTTCTCGTCATGTTATCTAGACTGTTCTTTCGATAATCATAGCCATTGGTTACAGTTCTGCTCTTGATACATGAGCGAAGAGGTAGTTTTCTTCTGTCTCGCTGCATTTGCATCAGGAAATCTCCCTTCAATCCGATCCCCATACTGAATCCACCTTTTGGAGGAACTCTCTGATGGTAATATCCCAAAGAATTTGCTGTGGGGAAGCAACCTAGGCCAGGTGGACTGGAACTTAGAAGTATCGTGTCCATTGGCATGTCACAAAAAGGTATGGCTCCAAACCCTGAAATTCTGGCAGGCATATCAAACAGCTTGGAGAAGCTATGTTCCAGGAATCTTGGATGATGTCAGCATAACAGCAGAGCACTTCTGAAGCTCACAGTTATTCCTGGAAGTGGAAAAAGGCAAACAACACATATAAAAAAAATGGGAAAAATATAAATTTAATTTAGATGTAGACCTAGACTCTAGACTTCTAAATCTAGATTTTGATAGAACTGTTGAAATACACTTTTACATTAGTAACCAATCATTAACCCAAAGCCAAATATAAAAGAGACAAGATGTGAATACGGTAGTCGATAGGATTCTTAGTTTTCTTACCATATGTCTACTTACTAGGAGAAAGTGGTGATACGATCCAAAAATGCAAAATAATCTGAGATTGAGAAGTCTTTGAAGTTTGAGCAGTCAAGCCTCAAGCCAAGTTTTGAGTTTTGCTTGAACTTGAATTGAAGTTCAGACATCTCTTAAAAATTCCATGCATAATTTTGTTATATTTACAGGTGCACTAGTCTAGTTGAGAATATTGATAGACTGAGTAGACCTTAACAATAAAACAGAAACTAATGAGTTAATCAAATGGAATATGAATGACTGCTGATGAAATGCAGATCAGTGTAGAGCTAGAGTCTACATACAGTGGTACAGTAACACTAACAGTGTGTACTGTATAAATGCATTGTCGAACAGCTGATCGTCGCACATCCCTTTAAAATTCGAACCTGACATGTACCTAGCTACGAAAGACTCCAGCTCCAGAGAAGTAAGGTAAAATTGTGATGTAGACCTAGGCCTAGCACATTATTTAAATTGAATCAAAGAAACGGTAATACTTACTAAAAAGTCAAGACAACATAATCAAAGCAAAACTAACTACGTACACGAAGAGTTCATCAATAAACGGACAGTTTGTCGTAAAATTTGCAACGATGATCCGCACGAAGTTCGGTAGAAATTGCAAATTGATGAAACGTTAAAAATCCATACAACCCGTACACAACGCACGCGCACACATGTACCGGTACTAATCTTGTGTGAAGGTTAAAGGACTAGCTAACTATCTAGCTGTGTAAATTGTGCGTACGTTACTTTGCGGAAACTAGTCCGTTGTTTTGTAAAATGACAATTTTTCTTGTGAAAGACCCCAAAATACTTCCCAAGTGTTCAATTTTGTATTCTTCATCAATATTAAATGTTTTCTAAAAAAAGTTTTTCTTCAAACTTGCTCATTAAGAAAACAACAAAATGTATCACTTATTTAGAACACACTTCACCCCTATTCTACAATGGAAGATACCATGACTGGATATGCAGCCAACACGTGAATACCAGTGGTTGTCCAATCACAGGACTAACCTTGGATCTCCAGGCCCCTGACGGAAGACGGGCGACCAATCAGGTTCGAGAACAATGAACCGCATCGAGCATGTTCCAGCCGTCGCTAGCTTCAACCACCTCAAAGCCTCGCCCACTGTTCTATATATTTCGACCCCAATAAGTGTCCCCCCTTCATGTCTACGTGTTTATAAATCCTCGTCAAGACACCACTGCAATACTGCTTTTTTCCTTTTCAGATGTGTTACAAAAATAATTGTTTTCGAAAAGGAGAGAAAAGTTCCAAACCAACTGAAGTTTTGTAAAAACATCTTAGCGGTGTGTTATATTCCCCCATGTATGTAGGACAAAGCATCGAAATAAATAGATAGAATTAGTGGGAAATATAAAAATTGAAAACATACGTGTATTACTCTTCTATTTTTTGCCAAACCACATTTTTCAGGATATGAGAATGCGAGAGATGAGAAAATTATTATTACACCTATGCCTACGGTAATTTATGAAAATTATGGGGGTATTTCAGGAAAACACTATTAAAGTGTACAATTTAGTGAAGTATTAAACCCATGCTAATATGGACCTAGCATTGACCTAGTAGTAGTTCCAGATCAATGCTAATATTTGACTAAAATAATTTGGACATGGGGGAGGGGGAGGGGGTAAGGTTGACTCTAGCACGCGACTCGTTCATGTACAGGAGACTTTTTGATTTATAAAGAAAACTAGTCTATGTCCGTGATGATATAGACTACTCGCAAACAAAGAGTAGGTCTATTTTGTAACTAGACTCTGCTTTAAAAATGGTTAATTTCCCACAAATATAACCACCAACCCTACCAAATATGAGGTTATAACCAGGGAGATGTGATACATCTACCTGATTATACCGTTCGTCGAGTGTAGTATAGATTTACTATTAAATTGTCATGGAATCATTTTTACAACTAGGCCTATATCAATCTAAAAACGCATCAATGATGGCACTCCTTAAAAACGAATCAATTATGATAATTAATCAATAAACATGAGAATTAGCAGGGGGGAAAAGTTGGAAAAACAAATTACTATTTATATATTCTATTTTTTATGGTCACGTGAAGCATAAGAATTGCAAGAAAGAAAAAGTAAAAGTAGAAGTTCAAGAAATACCAAGAAATAACAAGAAGAAGGAAAAAAAAGGGGGAAGAAGGAGAAGGGGAAGAGGAGGCAGAAAAAGAGAAAGAGGAGGAGAGGAAGAAGTTGAAGTAGAAATAAATTTTAAAAAAGGTGGCCACGATGCGAACCATGAGTGATAAAGCTACAAGGGAATCACGATGTAAAAGATAATGTATAATGATAAAAGGAGTCTTTATGACGTCACAATGCACAAGGGCCTACGTACCATGCGTCGTAATCGTGGGCTAAATTTATCGCACGAGGGGATACCCCCTTTGTAAACGTCTGACTTTCGTCTAGCGTACCTCGAGTATGAATCATGGAACTTACGTGGTATCAGAAGCACGCTGACGCAACGGGAATGGGTAGTCTTTTCATGCAAACAGCTTGCACAGACTCTCCGTTCCGTTCAACCCATACGTACAGTATAAAGCTAATGCTGAACGATTCCTCATGTCTGTTGTATGGAGTCTTGCGTTATTCAACACACGGCAATGTAAGACCATTGTACATTTAATTAACGAGGAGACATTTTTCCTATAGATGAGTTAAAATTAAGAAGGTTTACTACACTAATTGCTTAAGTTTCCGCATGTTTTGTGGATTATATTTCCCCTAATTGTACATATTGGGTCTGACTTTACAGACTATTCCCAACACACGTGCTTACCATGAGCCAGGATATCCAGGGTCAGCTCAAGGATAAATTCTCTCGTTTCCTCCAGTTTTTCTTTTCTTTTCTCGGCTTTTCGGCTTTTATTCTCTTCTCTCCATTCCATGACTCTAGACACAAAAGCCTATCTACCTGTTTTTTCTCCACCAACTCGCAAATATTCTGCAAAGTATAAATTTGAATTCACGCCAGATGCGACGACACAGAAGGAAAATGAAAGATAGCGTACTGTATTTGAACTTCCAAGCTTCAAGGATAGAAAAAACAAACAAGAGATGTTGACATGAGAGAGAGAGAGAGAGAGAGAGAGAGAGAGAGAGAGAGAGAGAGAGAGAGAGAGAGAGAAAGGGGGTGGGGTCTAAGTGGAGGTGAAGAGAGAAATTACATTTCTAGGAAAATGCTTTATGTGTGAGTTCAGACATAACGTCACAATTATTATTCGAATTTCATCTGAAAGTATTTGAAGATCTGTTTCAATCACTAACTTCTCCCGTTTGCGTAACGAATATTTGTCATAAAATTCGCTTGAATAACCCCAGATTAATATATTGTGCTCCTGGAAAATCGTTCCGCCATTGGGAGAAAAGTTACATCACAGGGCCGTTTCGTAATACAACCGTACAAGCATTAAGAAGGATCACTATCATTTTCTCGACAATAATTATCCAAAGCCAATAAAATGCAATGATTTCGGTAGCCAGTTTTGTCACTTGCTGTTGATATCAAGTGTTGAGAAACGAAGCACAGGAGTCAGTTCCTGATGATTCAGGCATTGTTGAGCTTCATTGCAGAGTTCAGAGCCAGTTGGCACGGAACTATATCAAACCTCTGCTATGGAGTAACTATGTAAGAGGCCTAGAGGATACGGGTTCAAATAAAATAGGCCCTGCTCTGACCCATTTCTTTGAGCTCCTTGTTTCGATCATGCGATCTCGAGCACCTGCCCCACAAACTCAGACATGTTCCGACCTCGTGAACATGACCCAGGGGTGATGAATGAGTGTTTAAAACCAGTTTTAAACCAGTATTACATTGACTTCAGGGACTATCCACTTTTTGATAACAAAAATCATGTTTAAAAAAAAATCAAAAATAAATAAAATGAGGGCTACCCCCAAAAAACAAAACGGGGGAAAATCGGGAAATAAATCAAAATAGGAAAATCGATTTAAATCGGGAATTCATCAGGCCTGGTTTGACCTCTTTCAAAGGACAGATTCTTAGAAATGCGTGAAAACGAACAGAGAAAACCATGTCTACATATCTTCACCATCAAGGAAAGGACAGAACAAAAAGTATTTGTTCGACTTTTTTTTTCTCTTTAAAAGATGGAGAAGGAAATTTACAGTCTTATCATATTGATCGCAGATGTAAGAAAGTATTTAGAATATACTTACGTAAAAGGACACGTTTTCCTTGCATTCAAATGTTAAATTTGAGAAATAGTAACCCCACTCTATAACATTGTTCAGATGAGAGAATTTTTTTTTTTAAAATCTCGAAATCGGCAGCAATCCGCCGATCGATCGGCGGAGGAATCTCATCCTATATATTCAGAGGTAGTTTTCACGATATTCAATTATTGATAACTCATCCCATTATTTACCACTGGTTTAAAAAGCCACTAATTTGGTTCAGGTGCGGGGGGGGGCAGTATAGTTGCTTCCAATATATTTCGGAATTTATGATATATTGCGCTTACCATTCAAATTATATATTATTCGTAACCCTTTAATGTTGACGAGGATTGGGTGGCTAAGTATATAGATTTTCCCTAAAAACTAAGGAATGAATTGTAAAAAAAGGAATTCTCACCGTGACAAAATATTCGATCAGTGATCAGGAGCAAAAACTAAAATCGCACTATTAAATATTCACCTATAGATGGCGTTCTTCCACAAAGGTGGAAGGTGAACAATAAAACTCTGTGTGGAGCATACCACTCACTGTGGACCTATTTCAAGAGGTTGTGATTTTCCAAAAACAAATTGACGTTGCAGTGAACGAAACCATGACTTACTATTTTGGTATTTGGGAGGAATTGATAATTAACAATGACAAATTAAACTATGACAACAGACAGCAAAACAAAACAACTAAAAAACAGAATAATAAATAAACGAATGAATAAATAAACAATAACATTAATGAATAAATAAACAAATTAATAAATGAATTACAACTATAAAAAATGATTGTTTTGACCAACTAGCAGAAGAGGGCGACAAAAACCTTTATTTTTGTAATCTCCTGACAAGGCTCTAAAGAATCCCAAACTTGCCAACAGAAAATTAAAGTGAACATTCAATATTGTGTATATGACAGGTTAATGTAAACTACTTTGAAAACTTTCATAAAACAGGTAAATTTAATTGAGATCTTGCAAAATCATATACAGAGAAACCTTGTCTATAGCTGCATTTACATTGCTAGCAGTTTTTTTGGATTTTTGCTCAACTTCTGGTGTTTCATCGATAGTTGATTAGCAAATTACCCGCAAAAACAAGGAAAAACAAAACAAAATTGAAAAAAATAATCCACCTCTGGAGTGTGGTTTTTTTAATGCCTGCCAAAATTTCAGATTGTTGCAGTGTAAATGCCCACTCTGGAAAGTTTGGTACAATATCTTTTTTTGGTCACATGACTCTCCTTTCCTCTGTGCATTTGCATGCAGAGCAGCGAACAAATCGAGCATGCAAACTAACTCACCAAAGAATCGGAACGAGCAAACACAGAGGGTTTTTCCAGTATTGCAAATAGCAGCCCCAAACATTTACGATTTAAAAAAATATATTTTGGCTGTGTAAATGGGCCTATAGCTAACTTCATTTGGCTGAGAAAATCGCCTTGTTATAATTATGGAAACCTTTATACATAAAAACTATAAAAAAACAAAAATAGATGGAAAATGAAGCAGGACAGGTAAAACTACAGTTAAAGTCCATCTGTAATAGTTTGGCCAGGAGGGATTAGACCACCCAGCATGGTCACTGACTGGTGGCTATATCATCAACTCAGCTCTCAATTAACATAAGAAAAAGAGGATCATGGGGGACCAACGGGCACCACTTAGGCATTGTTTTCTATATAGAGGGAGCAAGTAGCTACAAGTAGTACAGTGTGGCTTTAAAACATGTTTGTTTCATAGCAGTGTTCTCACTGCTTTAGAACACGTTCCCACTCTAGACAAAAACGTTTTACACTAAAACAAGAATGACTATACACCCATCAGTACAAAATTATAAAGTTTTATTGTTTTCTTTTCTCGTCCAAGTCACATACTTGTATCATGAGCATATGGAATAAACTGTGCAATCCTAGTATTTTATGCAACTCACTCCTAGAACCTACTAAAATGATTGGTAAAATGCAGTCACTTGTGATTCACTTACTAAGGTTATCCCACATATTTTTAGGGTAAAATTTTTGCAATAATTTCCAGTACTATCCAATGATTTTTGAGTAAGCTACATGTATGCACAGCAGTGCTCATATAGGTTAGTCCACTTGTACTATGTGTGGGCCTATACTTGTGTAGCACTGCACAACACCTGGAGAGGTTAGTGTGCTTAGTGCTTACATCCATGTGGCTTGAAGGTAAGCCTATTGCATGTACACTAGTGTTGTAACATCACAGATATTTCCACAAAAACAATACAAAACAAAAACGGGAAAACAAAACTGTCAAATTGCAAACAGATAGTGCCATGGACGGTCGGATACTGGACGGTTAAACATTTGACCACAGCACTAATGTACACTTTGGATTTATTTGTCAACTATAATGACACAAAACAAATCTTGAAATGAGTTCTTTTTAGAGCAAATGACAAGGATCTAGGAGTTTTAATGTATGAAACAAGTGATGCATGTTTTCATTTGTTTAATACATGCTCTACTAGCTCTTGTTGAGGCTATTATACACCTATCATACAAAGCTGTCCGGCTTCATACGATAGATGCATACAGGTTCAACTCGAGTGCAGATAGCTCATATAATTAACTCATATGCATGCATTATTTGTATCAATCCTCAAAAATGCTCTATATGTAACGGCTGTACACACATTAAAGTGACTCAGTAACTAGTGTCCAGGCCAAGGCAGGAAAAGATGTACAGTTTTAAAGATACTATGCCCCTTTAGCAGCCAACATCAAATTCTGTAGAACATCGCAGGAATTATGAATATGTCATGTATGTCCTATCTGTGAAATTTAAACATTAGCAGTGTCCCAGTATTCAAATTATGCAAGGAAACCTGTTTACGACTTCACTGTCTATTACTGTTATAAGATATACACAAGACAAGGCAAATATTCACACAAGAATTTGCGAACCATTCAGCTATCTTGACTAATTTAGCCAAAATTTCCCACCAAGTCAGCGATGTCCATAGTGCAGGGTTGACGTGACTGTACTATTAATATGGACATGGAAATTTTGGTAATGCTTGTATCCTCATGGCATAACCTAAGTACCGTTTTTTGCGGGACCTTACTGGATGCGGCAATGAAGTCCAGCATTTCCAGTCATGCTGATATGAACTCATACTGCATCTCGCAACAATCAAGTCCATAAAGATGTTCATTCACAGTCTGTTTCACAAATGTTCAGAGAAATCAACGCTGTTGCTCCAACAGACCCCTCATATAAGAGAAACAGCTCCGCTGGCAACGAGAGATCCCATCGGTCGATATCTCATGATATACTGCGAACCGGCATCTATGTCGACTACTTCAGCACTGGCACATAGAGATAAAGGAAAAGCAAAACAGACACAATGAATTTCAGATTCTACATTTATAATGAGGGTTTTTGTGAGGAATCAGACAAGTCTGCTATTTAACTAAGTACTACTTGTAAAGCAAGACGGGCCACACAACAAAGATAAATGACTTTGAGTTAAATTACCCAAAACTATACATGGCACAAGAAAGACTTTAAGTTCTTGAAATACTCTCATATTCTTAATATTCATGTGATAGGTATATTCATGAGCCACAGTTCAACTCTCTATACCAAAATCGATGATATATATATGCATTCTTATATAATCTGCTTGCAGAGCTTTTCACTACCGTACTTATGATTTTTTTTAGTAAAATAAGCCAATGCTATGTCTCTTCGGTGATTTAAAAACTGTATAATATTAAATGTACAAAATTATCATTATAAATGTATATTACAAATTCAACCTTTACCATTAACTTCTAAAAATGTATTTCATAATACAATCATAGTCAACTTTCTCTTTCATGGACTTACTTCTGTTCATCCTCTAGTTCTGGTTCTATGAGTATTTGCTCCTGCCTCTCGTTGGCTCTCAGGAATACATAGCTGTCCAGGTTGGGCTTGGGAACTAGGAAGAAAATAGTAAAGGCATATTCCAATAGGCTTACAATCAATGACTTGATGAAAGGCGTAAGAGTCCAGGGGGGGGGGAGGGGGTTTCATAAATTTGTGCGTAAAGTTACGCATGACTTTACAAATGACTTGAATATGTGGAGCTAAATGGGATTCTCAAATCCTTTTAATTGCATAAGCTAAAGATGAAGTATGCAGATGTAGATTAACCTTATCACCGTTTTAATGCAAACTGTATTTTTGGCTACAATTTAATTGAGATCATCGGAAATACAGTCACAGTGTCACACTTTGTTAAAATGTCAGGAAAAACTTTGGGCATCCCATTTGGCTCTTCATATTCAAATCATGTGTAAAACACGTCCCAGATTGGGCTGAGAGAAAGTATATTCTAATAAAATTAGAGTCATTGAAAAAAAATGGCGCAAATGAACTGTGTAGCTCTGAAGCTTGGCCTTGAGAACTAGAAAAACACTATTGAAAGCCTATTTTATAATTAATGAAATTATTAGCCCACATCAAATAAAGGAATACATAGATTTTAAGGGTCTGCTTAAAGGCATTGTTTAATAATGTTAAATCTGAGATGCAAGGCCCTATGTGTTATCAGTGTCTGTGATATGGCGTAATATTGAAGTCCTAAAATAAATCGCACCTCAAAACGATTAAGAAGTGCCTAAAAAAATTTAAAATTTTTGAGTGACCAGTTTTACCATACCGTACTTGTTTTCCCCAATAGACTGTAGTGTTATGAAAACTGTTAGGAAAACGCAAAATTCGATTTCGATTTCCATTCATAAATATCTTGATAAAAGTCATGGGGTTCCTGACTGACCAAAAGGTTTATAATTATCATTGAAGCATGAGCTAAATCTGGGAAAAGGTTACCCAATCCCTTTCAGACTCGGAGGACAATATTGAAAGGCATGATGTTGAAATGATTGGTGCACAGGAACATTCAGCTGTAACTTTTCACATAACACACAAAGACATGCAAGTCTTGAAATGCTCACACGCCTCCCCTCCCTCCCAATAAGAAAGTGAAATAAAACTAAGTCTGTATACTCACCTAGCTTCTGTTTGTCAAGGCTCTGCAGGTTTGGGGGCATGTGTCGCAGCACAACTGTGTTTGAATTGGACTCTAAGCTCTCTGCAAATCTGGAGAAAAAAATAAAGAATATTGATAGAAGTCATAAAAAATAAGAGTGATCTCATCCAGGGCCCTGTCTTACAAAGAGTTGATATCAATCGCAACTATGTACATTAGAGATGGGAGACTGCAAACTTGTGATTGATTTAGGGACTTGATATTGATATCTAGTAAATGCAGCCCCCTCCATAAAAGACAAGTAAGGGTTGAAGGGTTGATTGACATGTTGCTTTGGACAAGAAGTTACCCATCGTATCAACAGTTTGAAGCCAGATGGGTGTTAACTTACATACGTTAACAGACTTAATGACCTTCTGATTCTTAATGCCTGTCTGCACTAGTTTGGCCAGGAGGGATTAGACCTCCAAGCATGGTCACTGACAGGTGGTTATGTCATCAAATCAGCTCTCAATTAACATAAGAATAGAAAAAGGGGACCATGGGGGATCAACAGGTACTGATTAGGCATTGTTTGTTATATGGAGGGTGCAATTAGCTACAATAGTGCATTCACTCTTTAGGGAAATGATAGAGATAAACAGCTTATTCCGTTTACTAAATCTCTTGATTGTCTCTGATTCACACACTAAACAAATTCAAATCACTAAACAAATTCAAATCGTGAAAAATACTGACAAAAATGACATGTCACAAACCAACATCAGAGCTAACATGGTTTTCCATAGCACATCAGACAGGCACAAAATATCTATACTGTGACAACATAATTTAAAGAGAGGTGAAAAATATTTTGTGAATGTTTTTATTGTTGTTATGCAAATGTGGAAGAACATCAGAGAAAAAATGTTCCCTGAAAAGCATGGCTCTTCAAATGCCTCCATATTCTAAATATGACAAGTAACAGTTTAAAACTGAGGCCAGATTGTTATGCCACATGTCTGGGTAGTCCCATATACATCTTTTTATGTACAGTGTTTGTTACTTTACCAAGACTTGACCAAATTTCTCATCATGTTGATGACTCCAGAACCTTGCAGTTCACACAAATACTAATATGCTTCATGATCAACTTTTCTGATCGATTCCACACCGTTTCTTTCGCAATGCAATTAGATGACCAGAAGTCCAGGGGGGTGTTTCACAAAGATCCTAAGTAGAACTTAACTCTAAGTTGGACTTAAAAATTATGGACAGCCATTGGAGTCTTAAAATGAAATATATTCAAAAGCAGAAATTCAAGTATTTTAGACTTTTTATGATTTCCACATCCAGAACATGAAATCTCCTTGATGATAGACAATATGGATGATTTGAATAAACAATTAATGCCTTTCAAAATAACTTTTACAAAATATTTTCAAAGATGCTAATGGCTTTCCATAATTTTTAAGTCCAACTTAGAGATAAGTTCAACTTAGGATCTTTGTGAAACACCCCCCTGAACTCAACTTTATCTTTAAGAGGAGACCTGCAAATCTATACCTAGTTGGCCTCTTTGAGGACACCAACCTGTGTGCCATCCACGCCAAGAGGGTTACCATCATACAGTTGCACTAAACCTCGCACATCCAACATTTCTGTACAACAAAGTAATAAATGAAAGGTGTTTTTTTTTCTTACTCCTTCGCAAATGTGAATTCCTCTGGTGACAGCATGTTTGGTTCATCTGGACCTCGGGTCGACTCCTTGTGGAGTGTGTGATGGACAAACTTCTCAATCTGTAGAATGTTAGAGAGAGAGAGAGAGAGATAGAGAGGGGAAGAGAGAGAGAGAGAGAGAGAGAGGGGAGGTGAAATAGTGGCATTGCACTTCATTTGTTGAAAATGAAAATGAATATTATGATGAGATGGACAAACTTCTACATTTGTTTTCTAAAAATAATTAAGTGGCACATGAACTCATTTTAAATTTAAAAGAATGGAAAAAATAGAAAGAAAAAAAAGAGTTCATATCATATCAAATAACTGACCACCACAATGATTAATGATAATGATAAACTGTATGTACTAGCAGTCTAGCAGCTTATCATGTAATAACCAAGATATGACAAAAATCACCTATCAAAATCTTTTGATTTCTGCTAGTTTCACCTCCTTTTCTACTTATCTTCATATGTTTGTGACTTTATAAGAAGTAAGAAACCCCCCCCCTTAAAAAAAAGAAGTTTATTTCATATAATTCACAGTTAAACCGATTTTCCTTGTTTTATTATTTCTTACCTTTCTCAGTCGTATCCTCAGGTAACTACTTAAGACATATCTTATTCTGTCAATCTGTATAGAAACAAACAATGGAGAAAATTAACAAAATGCTAATAGGGCCCCAGAGTAGCGCTTCCATGTATCGGTACAGTGTTTATTTGCATTTGAGTTCTTGCTAAATGCACCAATTTATCCACTCATATTATGAGTTTATATCGAATAACCTTACACATCAATCTAGAATCTGTATGCATCATTTTTCAAAAGGACTTACTTTTTTTTCACTTACAGTGTACGTTAAATACCTATAACAAATTGAAATTAGTTTAATTTACATGGAATCAAATGTTTCTCTTTCTGATAACTCTACTAAATTGTAATTGTTCCTCAAACAATACCTTATATTTATTCATTTTGAAAAATATGTGTTTTATCAAAAGATCACAATACATACCTCCATCTTGTGAACAATAATCCTAAAATCTCCTTTCTTGCATTTTTTGACATTCTCCTCCATCTGTTGAAGCTGCTCCAGCATACATTCCACAATCTCTACCTTGCTCTCCAGAAGATCAGGAGCAAACTTCTCATTTAACCAGGCCTGTCCACAGAGAGAGAGAGAGAGAGAGAGAGAGAGAGAGAGAATAGGCAGGAATTGAAAGGCGTACACAGATGGAGAGGTTACAAAGAGATAAAGAGGAAAGAGAAAGAGAAAGAAAAAGATATAAACTGACATGACAGGCTCTACTATCTTGGGAGTCAAAATTTATTACAGTTAAATATGATCTGAATTATGACATATGAGACTGTTAGTGTTACTGTTAAAGTGTTAGAATTTGACAACACACATTCACTATTCACATGAAGTCACAAGATTTTACTTTCACTTTTCATCTTACTTTTCTTCAGGCGCGTAGCCAGAGTTTGATGTTTGGGGGGGCACATACATGTAATCGATCGAGGTCAAAAAAAGGGGTCTACAAAATTTCAACCGATCCTGGAAATTTTAGGGGGGGCACGTGCCCCCCGTGCCCCCCCGTGGCTACGCGCCTGCTTTTCTTAGACCAAATTTTCTGTCTCTTTCGTTCGTTAAGCCTCTTATTTGGGTAGGGTCGGCTCGACCCTGCCCAAATAAGAGGCTTAACAAACTAAAGAGACAGAAAATCCGGTCTATATTCATCTGGGCACTCGACAAGCATAAGTACGATAATACACCAATGGCGGGCTGTACTTAACTGGAAGAAGAAGAAGAAGATTTCACGACAGATTTATCATTATTCATCATTCATGAATCATTATTATAAATATAAAACCCATGAACACCCTTCCTTGCCTAGGCCTAGCCTGGCTAAGCCTAAAGTAAGTTTATAATAATACTCTACACTTTTGTAGGATTTATATCATTAAAACACTAGGAATCGGGATGTATCCATCTGTCAGCTTGAGCTTGCTGCTCTCGAGCTCTCGCTGAGCGAGCGGCCCGGGCTTAGAACCCGATGCCTGAGCCAAGGGCCGTGCTACGCAAAGACTTTCGTTCACTTTTCAGTAGACTTGACGAAAAACAAGAAAATAAAGAAATAATCACCTCCTCCAGCTTTAGCAGAACATCTGCAGCCGTCATCTCGACCTCCTCTTCGTCACTTGAGAATTCATTTTCCAAGCTTTCATCAATTTCTTCACTCATGTTGGCGGTAATTTAGCTAAACAAAACAAAAATGTTTTCCTTGGCCTCAGCTCGAGAGCTCTACCAATTTTCGCGCGACTGAAAATAATGATCGTTTTACATTGAAATCACGAGAGGGCAGTCTAACAAAATGGCAGCCTCCATGAGAGTGTTTGCTGCAAGTTTAGGTAAAATGAAATGATAATTTTTCGAATCATGCATTTATTTTATAATGTAATAGTGTGATGATGTGATCCATATTAGCTATGAATTTAATTGGTCTGGGTGATGTGGGTTAAAAGTTGTTTATTTGCTCCGAAATATGTGTCTACCTGATCTGAGTGCAAGTCATGTGTGTGATTGTGATTGGGGGGCGACGGCGGGGACGCGCTGCCGCTGGCTTGGCGCGGCTCCTTGGGGCGGGGGGGGGGGGGGGGGGGGGGGGTCTGCACATGCATTCTGCTTAGAATCAGGTTGATGTTTCTCAAAACTGTCTTTGCCAAGATCAAGAATATTAGATGAGTGACAACTTCTGTGACAATTTCGTGTTGTGACTCCAAATCTCTTTTGGTAATTCATGTCAAAATCTGATGGTTCCTGGACCTGGCAAAGACTAAATGTAGATTTTCTAGACTCTAGATCTATATCTTTATAGCCAATAGTTTAGAAAAACATATATTTTTCGCTTTGTGAAGTAAGTTTTCTGCTTCCTGACATCTCTGTAGGTCGCTCACAAAGATATTAATGTCATGGACTTGGTTTCATGAAACGATCCCCAGAAGTTGTGTTTTTCAACAGGAGAATCAAAAACTGTAAACATTCTAAGTTCTAATACTTGTGCATTTTATTGTATATATTCATAAATTACTCAGAATTTGAAGTACGTACTTTTTTCTTTGACTTATTTGTTTATCAGGGAAAAAATTAATATTTATTTTTCGGGGGCTACTTTTCAAGCTTGTCTGCATAAAATTAACACTCTAAAATTTGTTTTGCATTGAACTCTGCAAATTTACAGGGGCTATTTTCTGTTTTGGGGGCTCTTTTGGGCATTTCGGGAGCTATTTCGCCCAGAGCTCCCGAGTATTTTTTTCACTGTTGTTAATAAGTTATCTAATTTTTTTCTCCTTATGCCTGATAGTTCCACGAATCCACTTGAATCTGTTGTCACCAGCTTCCACTCCATGTCGCACCAGATGTATAAATCAGAAGAACATTCACAAAGCTGTAGCTCCTGCTTTGGGTTCATCACCACAGACCACACCCATTAGATGTGTCACCTCTGCACCCTTGACAGGCCTTACCTCTGCACCCCTCCACCAGCCCGCTGCCCTTCAGCAGGGTCCTTGCAGAGGTGATGAGCTCTCCAGGATATGCTCCAGACTGACTGGTCTAAGTCTCAAAGCCCCAGGTCCAGGTCCCATTGGAGGTCAGATCCAGACAAGATCCTTCTCGAGTTTGATTTGTAGCAGGTACACTGGAGGATTCAGCAACAAAGAAATGTAAATATTTATCCCAATTATGTAACTAATGATAGGCTACTTTAGTGAAGCACATATTTTATTTTATTCAATTCACTCGTAGATCATAATCAAATGATTGGTCAAAGACGGTCATGTGTGATTCATTTACTGAGCTTATCCCCTGTTTTTTTTTCATAGAAAAAGCGTGCAATAGTTTCCAGTATCATTTAAACAAAATTGAATGGGCTGTAGCAATCTTTGTGACATACCAGAAGTGAGAAATTGTTTCTCCTATCAACTATAACAATCTTTGCTCAAATTGAGTTTAGCATAATAAGCATAACAAACTATGTTTGGAAGTACTATAGTTTCATGGTGAATCAATATTATAGACCCAAAACGTGTAATGCTATTTAGATTTGATGTCCATGTAACACTGTCATAAAAGAATCACATATTAAACAAATATTTTTTAGAGAAGCAACTGAAACAGGAATGATAGGGCAATGCTCTATATATTCATTGCATAAAATCCATTTTTAGTAGATTATCTCATGTTACATGGACTTCGTTATATTTTTTGCCGCTAACCTCATGGAATGACCCTTTTATGTGCATCTGTCGATGACATATGATTGATTCATCAGTTCTTTGGAATCATTACCGGTATTCTATATTCTGTCATGTATTGCTTTGTGTTCCTTTCCAGCAGTACAAACCAGATGATGGTCACGTCTCCAGTGTTAGCCCATCAGCCCCACAGGACAGTGGTACGATACAGTATCAGCAAAGGCAAGAAGAAGACTGTTCACGCAGTGATTGACAGATTCTACAGACTTGACTGGTAGGTTGATTTCTGGTGCTATGCGATTCAAGGGTTCCGAGGGCAATCAAGAACCTTTATTTAGGAGTAGGGGTAAGGGAGAAGAGGGAAGGAGTGAATTTTTCTATTTATAAGGGATGTTGAATGTTCTCCGCTGAATTTAGAAGTTTATTATAAGAAATGTTAATATTTTCTATTTGGATAATGAAGAGAAAAGATAACATGTGTTTGATTCAAGAGATGAAGGATGTGAATAAGAGATACAGAAAAGGAAAAATGAAGGGAAAGGAAGATGAAAGTGGGTGGAAAATGAAGAAAATAATGAAGAGAGGTAGAAATAGAAAATTAAGGGGGAAATACATATGTTGTAGCAAAGAGAAGGATATGGACATATAGAAGATGTAAATGAAAGATCAAGATACAAAGTTCTACAGAATTGGACAGAGGAGTGGTACTGGAATTTGTAACCTTTTCAATTTGTTGGCCTGCAAATGGGACATATTACCTTTAAGGAACTCTTCCCGGCTGCAAACATTGAATTCTATAAATAATAAAAGTAAATATTAAATGCTCTGTTTATTATCCAGTGGTCTGTGGGTGAGACCGCAATCGGGAAGGGCCAAGAAACTGTGGAAGAAAACACCAAGACGCAGGTAAGTTACAGTCTCGAATCATCCCTTCAATTCTTGTCGTGCAACAGAGTGTCAGTCAGGCTTGATGCCCCTGTCTGTGATATTCTTTTTTTTTTTGGGGGGGGGGGGGAGCAAAAGACATGTGCCCCCTTTTTTAAAATTAAATTTACATACCTTACAGTGTATCAATCACCAACAAATATTTTATTTCTGTATACTAGGGGCTCCATATGGCTATTCTATAGTAAATATATGAGCTTTAAAATATTACTTCTATGAAGAGACATTGTACGTTTAAATGCTCTCTCGATGAACATAAATTGACTTGTGAGTACCGGCAGACTACTTTACGCACTCGTACGTGCACGGCTTTGTATTAATGTCCTTCAGCTTTTCTTTCACTTCTGCTCGTATTGAACAAAAAATATCTACGTTAGTGGGAGTCCCTTTCATTGGGGAAAATATGACCATTTAAAGCATGTTTTCATGCAGTTTATAAGTGGTTTGGCAAAAGAGCAGACACATAAAGCATATTACAGTAAAGTGCAATTTAAAAGCCATTGAGTGGTTTGCTCCTTTTAGCAACTTAAATATGCTCTACGCTAGTTACTTGTATGAGAAAATGTGATTGGAAATGTTGAATATATGTTCAGTATATGACCTCCTTTTAGCAACTTCAATATGCTCTACTCTAGTTAAATGTATGAGAAAATGTGATTGGAAATGTTCAACCTTGCCATGTAATAGAAAGCCTTTCTACAGCATCTATTCAGTATACCAGTATCGGCTATTCACAATCTCAACAATGTCTCTTGACTTATTGGTGGTAGAAATTCTGAAGATTGTATCAGGAATACAGATCTATATTAAGAATGAGTAATGATCATCTGTATAAGGAAGAAATTACCCCCCCCCCTCCCTGGAAATTTACTCCCCCCGAGGACAATTGCCCCCACCCCTGAAAAATACCCCTAGGAGAATTACCCCCACCTCCAGAAAATTATCTCCCCCCCCCCCCCCCCTCTGTTCATTAAAGGGGAAGTCTACCCTGACAATCAGATGGTTTTAATAAATGCAGAAGTTAGGGGGGGGGGGCAGGGATGATTGTCTGAGGGGGTAAAATTATCTCATTATTCACATAATAATCTTTGATGGGTAATTTTATACCCCGTTGTGGCCTATATTCTCAAAAGCTGCCCAAATTTAGGTAAGGGTTTAAACCCCAACATGCACCGAAGTTAGCCCACTGATGTACGGCATGCCAAAAGTCAACCTCCTAATTTCGACAAAAAACCATAATGAACCAACTAAATGGTATACATTCTAATAATGAAAACTCATTTTCATTTCATGACCAAATAAACTTAGAATTTGTCTCATAGTTACTGTAAGTTATAATTTATGGAACCTAGGGGCTACCATTTTGACCTTCAGTTAGCATACCTGCCAACCACCCCGATTTAGGCGGAGTTTCTCCGCATTTTTCATACCAACTCCGAATTCCGAGTGCATGCCTCAAAACTCCGATTTTTTTTAATTTTAATTTTTTTTTTTTTTTTTTAATAATTTTTTTAAATTAATATTTTGTGTGTGCGTCCGCCATTTTCAATGGCAAAATGTCCATTCTGTCCTGTAAAGTATCCTACAAGCATCTCACATCAGCAATTTGGGGATGTTTATTCATACCTGCGTATAGCCCACGTGTATTTATATTACATGTGCAGTTGATACGCCGTGCATAAACACTGTATACATTGGCGTGTTTTCTTCAATGCTTGTGCGATGACTGCGATCGTGGAAGCTTGTTATTTACCGGACTTCCTCGGATTTATTTTGGATTACTACTACTATATACCTTTGCAAAATAGGGCTCCTAACTGAGGTGGGTAGTGAAACATGTAGTTTTGTGAGTGTTCACATTTCAAAAATTGTTTATGTGTGGGGCGAAAAGGTTGAAGGAAAAGGCCCATTTGCACCATTAAAATGGAGAGAAAAAAAAACAGACCCTAAAGTCCTGTGTACCCCCCCCCCCCCAATCTACGGGCTACTACCCCAATCCTTCGGTGGTTCGCGACCTCGTAGTCCATCCAGAAAAATTTACTCCTAATTTCTCTTGTCTCAGGTTGGCAGGTATGAGTTAGACTAAGTTAGGCCACTTTTTTTTTTCTGAACACTTTTGAGAGTATGAGATGTGCTATTGCATATGATCATGTTATTCATCCTCTTCAGGTACCGACTGAAGCAACACGTCTTCTGCAACAAGACCCAGTCTAAGATGCTGGACAGGATGACCTCTGGCTTCTGGAAGAAGAGGCGTCATTACCTTGATGACCCCTTTGAACAGTATCATGAGCGGCACTTCGATGTCATCCTACCTGGCAGTAATGTTAAAGGACAATAGAGACTTAATGGAAATCATTTATCAGGCGGATGGATAGGGGAAAGAAGATCTGGTACCATTACCTCAATAAATCTTTCGAACAGTGCCATCAGAGGCACTTCGATGTCATCCCTCCAGGCAGCAATGCTAAAGGACAAAAGAGACTTACCAGAAATCATTTTTAAGGCAAATGGATAGTAGAAAGAAGATCTGGCACCATTACCTTGATAAAACCTTTTTAACAGTATCGACAGAGGCACTTCGATGTCAGTAAGCCTCAGGGCGGTAGAGACTTAATCAACAAAAATGATTCATATTAGGAGAATGGATACTGGAAAGAAGTTTCTGGAGTTACGATTGATCTGAATCAATCGCAAGACCCCCAATCAATCGCAAGTTTGCAGTCTCCTATCTCTTATGTACATAGTTGCGATTGATATCAACTCTATGTAAGACAGGGCCCTGGTGCCACTTCCTGGATGACACCTAGACTCTGAGCACTTATGAGTAGTATCATCAGCTGCACCTTGATGTGGTCCCTATTAATAAGCCTTGATAGAGACCAAACCAACCGATGGTTCATGAGTAGACTGGGTAAAAAGAAGGACCGGTAACAGATATTTAATGATGATGGAAGACGAAGACCACTTTAAACAGTATCGCAAGCAACTTTTCGATTGACCCCCAGGAACAGTATCATCGGCGCTTTAATTTGATCCCCTGAAAATAAGCCCTAGAAATATCTTTTTCTTTATTAAAGGGAAAGTCCACCCTGAAATTAAGTTAGTTTTAATAGGAGTAGAAAAATGAGAGAAACAAGTCAGTGAAAGTTTGAGCAAATTCCGATTAAAAATAAGGAAGTTAGGATTTTTGAAGTTGTGATCAATCAAACACAAATTGGCAACTCTATGACGTATCATGCGAGCTCAACTTCCATTTGCTCAGTACTAAAAAAATCTAAAATTTTCATTTTCCCTCAAGAAAAATTTCAACCATACATGCACCCTAAATATAATAATTGCAAATATGTTTCTATACTCCCCCTGCAAGGAACAAATATATATTCCGTCATCAATAATGAAGAAAACATGATTTTATGGAATATTATGCACAAAGCAAATGAAGGAGAGCTCGTATAATAAGTCACAGAGTTGCCCATTTGTATTTGATTGATCACAACTTCAATAATTCATAACTTTCTTATTTTCATTCAGAAATTGCTCAAACTTTCACTCACCTGATTTTCTTATTATTCTGCCTCTATCGAAACAAACTTATTTTGGGGGTGGACTTTCCCTTTAAGAGGAGACTGGATAATGGAAAGGAAGATCAGAAATGAAAATGTGAATTATGATGGATTGAAAGTTATAACCCAATGGCTACTACCGGAGTGTTGGCTCAGTCAGTAGAGCGTCCCCATCACAACCGGGAGGTCGTGGGTTCGAACCCCGGCCACGTCATACCAAAAGACGTTAAAAAATGGGAGTTGTTGCTACCTTGTTTGGCGTTCAACAATAAGGGATAGAGCAACGTCGATCTGGCGCTGCTCTGTGGCTGCCGGGCTCACGATCAATTGGGCAAAAAGAATTTCCATTTCGGTTTAATAAAATTTGGAGTGGACTATTAGGCTATTATTATTATTATTATTATTATTATTATTATTATTAACCAGGTGGTTTTTGTATTAATTATATGAGAATAAGAGAATTCAGAAGACATGTTGCTTCTTCAAGATGTTGGAGAGGACATTCTTCTCCAGAGCACAGTAATTTGCCCCATAGTTTGAGAACTTTGAGAAGTCAAGATGACATAATCTACATTGTAGGTGCTACATCTGGCTTTATTCTCTTCTCAAATCAATGATTATTGTCAATTTAATTCCTTTTCCCCCTTTGATATTTTGAACACAGTGTTAAATGTACTTTTGTTTCTCGCTCCATTGAAGATTATTTTAGATTAAAGATCCTATGAAATGTATTCTATTGTTTTGTTGTATGAATAGAGTGGAGTTAGAACTGGGAGAGGAGGGGGAGGGGGATTGTAAAATATATTCATTGTAAAAAGATCTATGAGAGGAGTGTGTGTCAAATGTCTGGTTACTTAGAGATGGACAAAGGAGGAAGATGGTGGCAGAGAGAGAGAGAGAGAGAGAGAAAGAAAGAGAGAGTGAATGAGACAGACAGACAGACAGAAAAGAGAGATAACGAAGCATTATGGAGATTATTTTGAATTTTTTACAGTGTAAAGAATTTTGTTTTCTTTCTGGGTCACTTATGGATATTTAGTGGATAAATATCACGTTTGAACTTTGAATTGAAGGACTTTCATTTTCTAAGAGGATTATTCCAAGGGTCAAACACTCGTACGTGCCTTGGAGCGTTATGGAGATTATCTTGAATTTTTTAAAGTATAAAGAATTTTTTATCTTTCTGGGTCACTTATGAAAATTTAATGGATAAATATCACTTTGGATTGAAGGAGTTTCATTTTCTAAGAGGATTATTTCTAAGGGTCAAACACACGTACGTGCCTTGGAAGTTGTAGATATTAAAAAAGATAAATTGGTGTGGGAGTATTATCCGGAGAGTAGCTTCCATTTATTAATTTGAGATTTGTCACCTTTTAGAGGGTGGGTGATTCGCGCCTAATGGACATTAACACCATTCTAGCCACGGGTCTCTGAAAAAAACAAAAGGTTATCACACAGTGATGGTGAAAAGTGATTTGAAGGAGTAGGGGAGATTCTGAAAACTGGATTGTGGAGAGAGTAGGGGCGGGCTTGGCTTCTCACTATTTTCCTTTATATTTCTTTCTATCCCTCTCTTTCTCTCCCCCTCCCCCTCTTTTGCTGTCCCCGGCTGTCTGTCTGTCTCTCCGCCTCTCTCTGTGCTACTCTCTCTCTCTCTCTCTCTCTCTCTCTCTCTCTCTTTTGCTGTCCCCGGCTGTCTGTCTGTCTCTCCACCTCTCTGTGTGCTACTCTCTCTCTCTTTCTCTCTCCCCCTCCCCCTCTTTTGCTGTCCCCGGCTGTCTGTCTGTCTGTCCACCTCTCTCTGTGCTACTCTCTCTCTCTCTCTCTCTCTCTCTCTCTCTCTCTTTCTCTCTATCACCCTCTTTCTGTCTCTTTCATAAAGTAACAACTTTGCTCATTCGGGGGGGGGGGGGAGGGGTAAGTACAAACGTATCACTGTAGGCGCTTCGCCAGTGCTTCGAATCCACATTGATAACAACATGTTTCTATACTTCATTTTAGACAATTTTTTTCAAAGACATACTTTTAATGATTTTAACAGAAAATACTTTATAAAGGCAGGAAATTGGCAAAAGCTAAGGATCATTTTGTTAATGCTTTCACGTAATAAAGTCTAAGGGGAAAATTTTGTTTTAATTGACAGCGGTTATTCAATACTGTTATGAAGGATATCATATACAAGCGATGGAAATGAGGTGGGATATTGTATTATTGTCTTATTCTCAGCAAGAGCACTTATTGACTATCCATCACAATATTTTACCCGAAGAAAAATCATGAATTTATCATGAGCAATAACAAAATTAACCCCAATAAAGCACCGTCCTTGAATATCTTTTTTTCATCATGCCATCATTTCTCATTTTAAGTACGCATTTAAAAACACCTTGTTCTGTCAAACTTGTCTTTGAAATTTTCGTTGTTGGTTTGTGTCATGGGCAGCGCAGCTCAGTGAGTTCTCGGGGAACACAGGCTATCCTCGGTACTTTAAAAAAAAAATCACTATTATTATTATCATTATCATTATTATTATTATTATTATTATTATTATTATTTTTTATTTATTTTTATTGGTATTGATATTATTGATATCAAGTTAACTCTTCTCATTCGCGCAACGAGGGATCTTATCAAAACGAGATGACCTACTTCGTTTAATAATTTAATCTGAAAATGCGAATGAGTTTTCATATTGTTTGTAAAGATATTAATTGCATTTTATCAGAGGCGTAAAAATTAACGCAAGTATCGATCACAATAACACCATAATGCTACGAGAAGAAAATGGTTATGCCATCAGCGGAAATGTGTTTGCGAGATTTGAGACCTCCCCCCCCCCCCCCCATTTTTCTGGTGGAGAGGGGGTCATACAAACCCCAGTCTGTCTCATGTAGTTTTGTCAAGTTATGCCAATAAGGACTAGTGCGACCCCCACCCCCAACAAAAATAAAATAAATAAAGTAATGCGAATACCTCAGCTACATGAAGACAATCTCTAGACTTTGCTATTTCATAATTTTGTTATTTCTTTTGCAATAAATGGCGAAAATATATAATTTGTGGGGGGGGGGGGGGTGTATACGGCATCAAAACACTGAAGAGTAGAAAAATAAAGCAATATAAAATGTATTCTTGCAATAAATCTAAGGGAACAGATCTACAATTGAAATAAAATACACATGATAACAAATGACATGGTCTTACTCAATCTCAAAGAGTCAAATTGTGTAAATTTTCATATTAAAAACACGATCGAAAAGACTCGAAAATTCCAAGACAAAATTAAATTAGGCACATTGTGAGCATTGCAGTACCTAAAACCCCCGACTAAAAACGTAATATGATCATGGTTTCTATGAGGTGTATAAAATACAATAGGTTAATAAAATCACCCCTGACTTACTTATTTCTCTCAAAAATCTTCGTTACCATATCTCACTGAAATAATAAATGAAAGTAATTTTCTACCCAGCTTATGGTGCGTTCAAAGGCAGTAGAAAAACAAACCTCTGCTCTTTTTGCTGAACAAAATTTGAAGGAAAGACAATGATTTACTGGATCGATATGAGAAATTGGTTTGAAATCCTTGGTTATAAGTGTTATATGTCTCACACGACGAGCAGACGCTAAGCGTTGATATGGCAACCGTTTTGCAGATTGAAGCGGAAAACAGGAGTGCTGAAATTAAGAGGAAGTGACTTTGCTGCATATTAAATATATTTTCCTGCGCTGTCTTCAACCCAAAAGCGTGTTGAGTGAATCAATGCGATTGAAGCCTGTAATTTTGAAGGCCAATTATGACCTACACTGTCGCTCATAACGGTGGAATTTTTTTTTTTACCCCAATTTATGGAATTATTTTCAAAATAATTTTGAAATAATAGATCTAGATAATAGTATACATTCTCAGATTTTATTGAATATTAATTTGCCATTGTGTGTTTTGCGTGACTACTAAAGCATGTGTATGCTACTATGCTTATCACCTAGGGGACCCACGCCCTTAAGTCATAAATGACAGCAATGAGGATTAATGCCCTACAAAAGGGCACTAATATAGCACATCGACACGGTTTTGATCCTGGGGCCTCATAATTTCGAGGCCATTGCTTTGTCACTGAACCATGACTGTACGCAGCGGGGGCTAGGGTAGGGTAAAAAAAAAAAAAAAAAAAAAAGCAATAAATTTTCAATAATTTATTGCATTTTACCCCGGTTCCCAACATAAAAAAATCCTCTGTGTGCCCATGCCTTGAGCCATAATGCATGGCCGTCCCGAGACGTTATTCAATTGCGTGATTCCCTGGGCTAATGAAGTCTAATGAAGGAAATTAGCGCATGAGCTCTATTCAACGCAGTCTTTGCACTGTTCATTTGAATACGAATTAAGTCACTCTTACAAAGCGTGACAAAGACAGCGTCAACCTGTCATTGGCGCAACCCTACGCCAGCAAAATGACGCATCGTCGGCAACAGGTAGTAAAGGTTTACAAGCATTGGATTACCATTTGTTTTTC